ATCTTTTTCACCTCTGCTTGTTTGGTCTTCAGCTCAGCCTGGGCATGCTTAAGCGTCATTTGGGCCTGAGCATAAATAAGGAAGAAAAAATAGATGGTTGGAAATTCATGATAAAATAAGAATTCAGGGAATACGGTCAGTGAAAAAAACCTTTTCCAGTCACAGAAGCATATACGTGTAATCAGCCTTCTGCAAAAATATTTATTCTCAAAGCAAGATTCACCTGCTTGGCCTCTGTATCTGCTTTGCTTATGTCATTCTTGCAGGCCATCATCTGGCCTGCGAGTGTGGCTTCCTCTCCATCCTCGTTGGTAGAAAGACCTGCAGACACAGCTTTGAAATGCTGCTCAGCTGCCTCGAGGGCAGCGCTGTCATTCTTTCCTTCCTCCTGCAGAGCCTGAAGCTGCTTGGTCAACACAGAAACCTCCTTTTCCTTCACCACAAGCATTTTCTTGTCCTGCAGATCAAGGAAAACAACAGTTTGAATAAATGATTCAGATGTACAGATTGCCCTTGTTTGCAAGATTTATCAATCCATTACCTCTTCCATGTTCTTTACAAGCTCCTTCCTCTTCTTGGTTTCATCTTTGAGATTTGATTTTTTTAAGTCAAGTGCACTCTGAGCTTTGGCGTCCACACGCTGAACATCAGCTAGAGCCTCCTCAAGAGACTTTAATACTCCATTTACTTCCTACAGACGAGCAGATTGATACGGATTACTTTGCTGCAGTTTGATTAAAACATACAGAGGATGGACCTATAGCATACAAATTATTTTAAAGACTTCAACAAAAGGTACTGCAAAATCTGCCCACTATTATATAAAAAAAAAAAAATCAAATTGTGAAAAATCGCTCCCTTTCTTCCCCAGTGTAAAGTACCTGGTCTTTTTTCTTTTGCAGCTCCTGAATCTGGGCTGTGAGCTCCTGGACTTTGCTCTCGTTCTCTGCCATGCTGGCTTGCATCTTGGCGATGTTGTCCTGCATCACTTTTAGATTCTCTGCTGACTTCAGCTTGGTCTCCTCTGCACACACAAACAGCCAGGCCACATACAGCCGCGACAAGTGCTGGATCTCACGCATCAGCTTCTGGTATTCCAGGTATGATGATCGTTCCTGTGGACAGAGGAAGGTTAAGAAATGGATATTACAACAATAAAAACAAAAAGAACACAGGCTTCACAGGTTGAACCTGTGGAGAGAGATAGTCGGTTCAAATCTTAATGCCAAACTACCTCCTGCAGTTTCTGCATGGTTGGAGTGATTTCCTCATCCAAAATCTGAAAGAGCAAACACAACAAATGGTTTGCTTCAGCAGCAGTTTGCTGACGAACAAGTATAGAAAGTGATATAGTCAGAGTGAATTAACATACAGTCTGAATCTCCTTCAGCTTGGCCTCTTTCTTCTCAATGGTCTTCTGAGCACTAATCTTTTTACATTCATACATCCTGGTACCTGCTGCTTCCTCGATCATGGCAAGGATCTGAAAGAAGAGAAGTATTCAATATTAGAAGTCCTAAGAAGGGAGGGAAATAAGTGTCCTCCTAATGGGCAAAGTGTTTGTCTTACCTCTGGTGGTTTCATATTCAGAACTTTGGTGATCCTCCCCTAATGTATTAAAACAAAAGGAAAATCTTTGAATGGGGTGACAGATCATATCCATTTACAACCACAACTACACCGCTGACACAAGACTGACCTGCATGATGAGGAAATGTGGGTTGTTGACATTAAGACCAACAGAGCAGAATAAGTCCTGCACGCGAGTGTTGTTGGCATTGACTCCATTGATGAGATACTTGTTCCTGCCACCAATTACCACCTAAAAAAAAAAAGTATATGCATGTTAATACAAGGACTGCATAATAACCCTAAAGCCAGAGAGTTTCCTCCTTTATTTCTTTCCCCACCTGTCTCGTAACAGTGATCTCATCATGTGTTTCAAACCCCAGAGGACTCTGGCTTTTGTTGGAGTTGTCAAAGGTAATGGACACAGTGGCCTTTGTGATGCCACCCTGTCCGTTCTTGTACACCAAGTCCTGGAGGTTGGAGGCTCGCACCTGTCAGGTGAGATGAAACAAAAAAGGATGCAAATTTTGAATGAGAAACAACTACACATGCTTCTTACTTAGTTAACCTCAGTTCAGGGTCACTGCACTTTCGTATTATTCAACAGTTGTTCTTCATATTTTGTTTCTCACTTTTGTGGCAGTTCAGTTTGACCTGAGTCAGTTTTCAGAAAGGATATGTTTATTTTATTATTTTTTGTCACTTGCTATGAGAGAACAATATTGTTATAAACAAATCGTGACGGCTATTTACTTCCAGTCATGAAGCGACCGCAGTCTCAAAGTGTCGATGCCTTCTTATGCTTACTCTATTGACAGCTTCTACGAAACTACAACTAGATGTATTTCTTGTATTCATACTTCATTTTATTTTTAAATTTGTTTCGCAAAATACAGTAGTTTTCAGCACTATAACAATTTGTGACTTTCGCTTGTTACTGAGAGGAATACAACCACTGCCATTATCAAACTCAACAAAAACTCTAAGTAATCAAATCTAAACAACTGTAACACTGGATTTGATAGCTTTTAAGCTAGTTTACGGACAACAGCACACTTACATGGGTGAGATTTGAAATACCCAAAAGGAAACATATCGAGTCCAAAATATTGGACTTGCCGCTGCCGTTCAATCCTGTGATGGCGTTGAAGAGTGGGTCAAAGCCGTTGATCTCCGTCCTTTGCGCGTAGGACTTGAATCCTTCGATAATAATAGACTTGATGTACATCTTTCGGGTTTCCTCTCTCAGCTGATTCCGGAGGCAAGATTTGTTACAGCCAGGTGACAAACCACCACCTTAAACGGAAAACACCAAATATTAGCCCCGTGTTTACAACCAACAACTGGGAAACAGCTTCTTCTCTCCTCTAACTTGAATTTTGGCGGCAGGCGTGCAGACCCTGAGCCGCGAGTGCGTGTGTCCGTTGTGTGCCGGAAACAAAACAAATAAACCTAACTATATTAAAAAATATGCAGACACACAACAAGTACATTATAATGATGCAATTTTAAAATAAATAAACGTCAATGTAAAATCAAAGAAACGACGATTCTTAAATATTTATTGCGATATATATTTATTTTCGTCAGGCAACTTCTAAGGCAACTAAAACTCTGAGACGCGCACACACACGCGCGCGCGCCACCTGTAGATACGAATATGAAGTACAAGTGCATTTAGTAAAATCGTCCCAAGTCAACCTGGCCGGTCGAGAAAATACTGCATAATACTAAAAATAGTTTTAGTTAATAAAGATAGTTTAATGATGCTAGATATTAAATGTTTCTTTATATAAAATCTGAAATATTAAATGAAATTGAAAAACCTGTCACTTAGAAGCGCTATGAGGTATGACTGTTAAATAACGAAAAGTAGCTCCTCTTGCTAAAAGCATTGACTAGAAGTTATAGCCTTGAATTCAAATACTAATTACACCCACGGTTATTTAACCTATGTAACTATTGTGCAAAAGTCTTGACCCACCCCTAATTTCTTTATCTTTTGCTTCCAAGCAGCCAGAACTTCTTGTAATTGTAATAAAATGCCAAAGATAACACAGTTGAACAGGCATGAAGTAATATTTTCTGATTCACCTATTAACTGAAACCTTTGCAGGTCTTGGCATGTGTGTGTGTGTGTGTGTGTGTGTGTGTGTGTGTGTGTGTGTGTGTGTGT